CCCCAAAACCCCAAAACCCCAAAACCCCATGTTGTAGAAAAATGCAAAAATTAACATAAAGATTATTTTAATAATTTAAATAAAGTATCTCATCATTACTTTTAATTTACCATTCTTGGCTGCTTTGAAACAAATTATTTAGGGATTTATTTCTTTTTTTAATCTTAGATTATTATATATTATTTATTTAGATTATTAATAATGTTTAGAAATAAAATGATCTATCTTAATTGTCAAGCAAGATTTATTAATATCATGAAATTAAAGGTTTTAGCCTAACTAGATACGTCGGTTCTTTAAAGAGGATGCTGTTCAAAGGCTTTCTGACAAGCAAATCTTTATCTTCAAACTCAAAATCAATAGAGTTGATAATCACAATTGAGAGGCATTTAATCATACTCTCAGCAAAAGTTTTTCCTAGGCAAATTCTATTTCCTCCAAAGAATGGTCCATAAGACATTGCATGTCTCTTTTTACCATTAGGTGTAAGGTAAAGAAGATTACTAGGATCAAACCTGTCTGGGTTGAATTCTTAAGGTCTGATCCATTCATCAGGGTTGAAATGAAGTTCATTAATGTTTACTTACCAACTTGATTCCTTTTTAATAGTGAAGTTTCCTATCTTAACATCCTCTGAAAATACATGTAATGTAGTAACTGGGATAGGAGGCTCGTATCTTAATGTCTCCATTATACAGTACTAAAGATAATTGCAATCATTGAGTGCTTCGTAGGTTGCAAGATTCTGCCATTGTTCACAATTGATTTTAGAAAAGTCTCCCACCTTAAGATCTCTTTAACATTCATCTCTTATCTTCTTTAAAATATCTTAGTCTCTGATCAGGAAGAAAAGAAGATTTGTCAAGGTTGTTGATGTTGTGACATTAGATGCATTAAAAAAGTTACAGCAGTCGTCTATAATCGTTTTATCTTTGCCTTCAAAATAAGGATTAGATAAAATCATTGTCAAAAAATCTGTCTAAGGGATATAGCTTGGTTCATTCATCTATTTTCTTCTAGAGTCAATCATTGTTTAAACATGTTCTCTGAATTTTATACAATTTTTTCTTGTATCTCTCTCTTATTTATTAAGAGGTATCTTATCAAAAATCTCAAAGCTAGCTCTCAATGGGTGCTAAAGTTTCTTCAAGATATCATTCAAAAGAGTTCTTGCAAACTATCCAGGAACCATTTGAGTAAATTTTCCGTTTAGAAAATAAGGTATAGTAACTCTTTCATTGTCTTAACCAAAGATGGAAACATTAACTACTTCATCAAGCAATTCCTAAATTTCTTTGTTTAAAATGATTATATGTTAGTCTGAATCTTTCTCTTTTAGTTTTTCCTTCCAAGTCTATATTTTTTCTAATGTCATAGCGATAGATTTTTTTATTATAACTAATATCTTGTCCTTGTAAAATGCTTTTGTCAAATGCTTTCTTTTATCAGCCCACTCTTGTGTAGATTTCTCGACTCCAAGTGATTTTCCAATCATATCATCCAGAATTTACTGGAATTTCTGATGCTTATCCATAAACTTGGATTTAGTCGTGTAAATCTCTTCAACTAATTTAGGGTCATTAAAAACAATTGTTTGTGTAGTAGTCCTACAATCACAAAATAAAGGTGGCAATTTGGTGCCGAAGCAACCCTCCCAGTATTCAAGAAGCAACATTTTGCTATAAGGTGTGATCAGTTTTATTGTATTTAGGAATTCAATCGTATTTTAAATGAATGGCTTAGGAAAGTAAGTTGTAGGGATACCTTAACTCTTGTAAAACCACAAGTAGTAATACTGCTTTATTGCATTTTGATAAATGAAATATGCAATCAATAGATATGCAAAATACCAAATCATTATCTTTTTAATGTTAACTCTTTTAACTATAATTATTATTTCATTAAGAATTAATATCTAGCTATTTAAGAATAATTCTAATTCCTCTAAAAAGTAAATATTAAATAACGGGGTTTTGGGGTTTTGGGGTTTTGGGG